TCAGGTATCTGAGTGGATCCTGACATTGTTGAGAACCTTCCAGAGCTTGGAGGGGCTCTGTGACATCAACCGACAGTGGGCTTTAGCTCGCCGACAGCTGATTGTGGGTCAAAAGTAAGTGCACTGTTACCCACGAGGATGCATGGCCAAAAAAACTTTCGGCTCTTCTGAACATCTTTCTACAGACAGGAGAAAATCGGCATTAAAAATGTGCCTAAAGCCGTGTTTTTCAAAAGTGTTTAGGCGCTTTTAGGGCATTCATTCATTTCATTGACCAGAATATTAATTTAAATGAATGATCGCTCAATTTAGAAAAAAAAAAGTGTGGCGTGAAGAGGGATTAGGATTGTTATTTTTGATATTTGTAAACATGACAAATCTTGAATTGCCCTCAGAACAGTAATAGAGGCAGCATCTTCCAATGGGGACATTCGTTCTGGTGACCCTGAATGACAACCAGGGATTCCCTCACTTGGGAGGGATTTCCTGTCACTTCCTGTTTTGGCTATGAGACAGGAAGTGAAGGGATATGGTACATGTGGCAAAAAATCCAGACAAGGATATAACCCCCCCCATACCCCCCTTACTCCAGCATGGGGGGGGGGGGAAGTTTTGCACTTAGTCCTACTTTCACAAGACTCCTTTCTTTGCTCGTTGCGGAGACTGTGCGCTGCTAATCTGTGCAGCCTCCCTCTCACGGTCAGACTTTGAGCTCGGCTGTATTGGGCAGACCGGTGGGTGAGATGAGTACCAAGATGAAAGTGACCGTATTTTATCCTCAAAGCCCTGTCCCCAGAGTCGGTTTAAATGCAGCATTTTCATATTTGACTGAAATGGTAATTGTATGGCTAAACTGCAAAAATCCTTCGCAGCTGTATTGAAACGCTAAAAAATGCCGCACATTGACCAGATCAAAGTACCGTTGCTTGACAAAAGTCTGGAACTTATTATAGCTATTTTAAAATTTCAGCTTCTTGGGGGTTTTTTTGGAGTCTAGCTTTATGAATTATTACTTTTTTTTTTTTTTTTTTTTTGCTTTTATTTTTGTTTACTGGGTAGATATTGTAGAGCTCCTGCGTTTTTGTTTGAATCCTGATGTCCTGGAGGATTCTTTGTTGTAATAGTTTTTCTGCAGATTTTCAGAATCTCTTATAAGGCTAGGTTCACACTGGTGCGGACTGCGGGAAGATGTACAATTGTACGCCTTCCCTCACCTGCAGAAAAAACGAAGTGCAGTTCAGGAGATATGTGGGGGTACCCTTAAACCTAACGGCGCCCCCACGCACTAAGAACCGCACTGCACTATTCAGTTTCCTTGTGGCTGCGTTTCCTGAAAAAGTGCAGGGACCTTGTGTTTTCATTGGGTACTAACTGCGCCCAAGCAAATGCGGCCGTGGGGGAAACTGCGTAGGTGTGAACCAGGGCTTAAAGCTGAACTTCAGGCATAATGATGGTGACACATTTAAAACCTATACTGTATTTGGGAACTGTTTTGTTCAACAAAAGGTTTGTAATTCTGTTCAGCTAATCTTGCGATCTGTGCAGTCAGGCCAGATCTTTGAGCAGCACAGGTCTATCTTCTGGTGTGTTGCACTAACGTGTATTGTGACTAACGCATCAGACAGGACAAAAAGTGTGCATGCAGCGGGGGTTTTTTAACACTGCAACATGTGTTTTTGGTACTGATCAAAATAAACAGAACCACAAAGTGCTGATCAAAACAAACAGAACCACAATGTGCTGATCAAAACAAACAGAACCACAATGTGCTGATCAAAACAATGTGCTGATCAAAACAAACAGAACCACAAAGTGCTGATGAGTACACCTGTACTGCAGGTTTAAATATCCTGTAAATGTGGAAACTGTTAACGTGTTTCCACTCCCCTGGAAATCTAGTGTTTTACTGGATTCTTGCAGAGTTATTGGACTGAGGTTATTTTGTAGTTATGTGCTTATTTGTTGCCTTCTTAAGCAGGGGTGTGGAAATTTTTGAAAAAAAAACTACTTGTCCAGGGACTAAATCGAGGCCCCAATCTACTTGCCCCTCATGACAATCTACTTGTCCAGACAAAAAAAAAATGTAACCAAAACCATATTAATATCTGAGGTGCTTTTAGGAATGTCTGGGGTTTTTAAAAACAAAAGGGGTTTTATGGCGACTTAAATGTGTAATATTTTTAACATTGCGCGCTGTTTATCTCCCCCGCCTTTCTCCAGCACCGCAACCGGGGACTAGCCGGGAGGAGAGAGACCTTGCAGTGTAATGAGCACAGATTGGCTGCTCGTTAGGAAAGGGTGGGTCAGGGCTTATGCTTTATCCCTTTCGCTGCCAGAGCTGTTTTTGTGTTTTCGCTGCCAGAGCCGTTTTTGTGTTTTTTTGCACAAGTTTAAAAAAATCATTTTAGGCCTGAAGATTACATAAAACCCCCTAACATGATATATTTTCTGAAAGCAGAGACCCTAGAGAATAACATAGTGGTAATTCCAATTTTATATGTCGCATGATATTACCGCAAAGTTTCAGTAAAAAATACAAGTAAGTTAATTTTAGGACACAAAAAAGCAATAAATTGCCTTATTTTTTTGTAAAATATAAACATGAGGTTGCAGCGAGTAAATAGATATCCAACTTGCCACACCTTAAATTTGTGCAGTCTCATAAAAAGGCGACGAACTTCAGTACCCTATTTTTCTATAGGTCGACACTTTTAAAGCCTGGTCTGGTGGTAGAATTATTGCTCTCATTTTGGTGTGCGTGGCAATATGTAACGTGTATTGCAATCGGCTGTTTCATGCGTAAGCACCCCAGCGTGTGCTTTTATGTTTGTACATGCGTATATGTGGGAATGGGGGTGTCAATATTTTTTTGGGAGGGGATGGTATGTGCTTGGGTGTAACTTTCATTTTTTTACAATTAAAAAAAAAAAAAAAAAAAAAAAAAAATTTTTTAACTTTATTATTCACATAGGACAAAGTCTCCTATGTGATGATTTTTGGTGACAGGTTCTCTTTGAGACATCCAAAGACCGTGGATGACTCCCCTCTGCTGAACTGAATGTAATGTGGTGCACATCGCACCATATTGCATTCTTTCCCGGGGATTGCATTACAATCTCTCAGCGGGGACCCAGAAGTGACATTGTAACGTCACTTCCGTGTCAGCACAAGAAGGGGAGCGGACTTGTCTGCTCTTCTCCCTCCCCTCTAGCTGATGGCAAGCCAGGCCCGCAGATGGGCAAGCGGAGTCCAGGAGACCTCACGCTGCCGCCGATTGCTTCACCTGACAGGTGGGCCCTGCTGCTTACCCGCAACAAGGCTATAGGTAGAAAGAAACTACATGTCCTGGGCGTCTGGCGATAGGAATCTAACATCCCTGTTTATGTTTGTATCACTGGTTAAAGAACCATAATGGGAACCTGCTGAAATCTCCAGTACATCCAGTCATTGCTTCCCCTTTGTTTCAGTGGAAGAGCAGTTGATGCTAATATAAAAAAAAAAACTGACTGAGAACACCTATTGCATACAGAAAACATAGGAAAATCCAATTGCATTGTGGGAGCAGAACTGTTTTTTGTTTGTTTTTTTTGTTTTATTTTTATCCTGGTTTACACTTGCTTAACCCTGACTTCTAAGTCGAGAATCTTCTAAGTGTGTGGTTAGGAACAACTAGTTCAAACCTCTGCCTCATTTGTTTAAAATCTTTGTTTGTTAGGAACATGATGCTCTCTGATCAGATGGAGGTGAAATAGGGATGGTGATATCACAATGTCCACCTCATCCAATCAGAAAATGCCTTGTTTTTACTGGAAAAACAAGTGTTTGTGAATGGCAGAGGTGCCAATCAATTGATTGGTTTAGCAAACTGTTGTAATTCCTACACCGTTCACCTGATTTGTATGTAAATACCCTCATATTAAAGCTGACAGTCTGCAGTTAAAGCACATCTTGTTCATTTCATTTCAAATTCATTGTGGTAGTGTATAGAGCCAAAAATGTTAGAATTGTGTCAATGTCCCAATATTTATGGACCTGACTATATATGATAATCATTTTGCTTATTTACCTAACCATTTGTTAATCACAATGCAGAAATGGTCTTGGGGGGGGGAGGGGAGAGAGAATATGTGAAAATTAATCAATTTGAAAAAAATCAAATAAATATAGAGAGAGAAAGACTTAGTAAATAGGGTTCAATATTGCGTTAGCCCACCCTATGCAGCTATAACAGCTTCAACTCCTCTGGGAAGGCTGTCCACAAGGTTTAGTAGTGTGTCTATGGGAATGTTTGACCATTCTTCCAGAAGCGCATTTGTGAGGTCAGGCACTGATGTCAGATGAGAAGGCCTGGGTTGCAGTCTCTGCTATAATTCATCCCAAAGGTGAGGACTGTGCAGGCCAGTCAAGTTCTTCCACCCCAATTTCTCTCATCCATAACTTTATGGATCATTCTTTGTGCACTGGTGCTCAGTCATGTTGGAACAGTAACGGGCCATCTCCAAATTGTTGCCACAAAGTAGAGAGCATGAAATTGTCCAAAATGTCTTGGTATGCTGATGCATTAAGAGTTCCTTTTACTGAAACTAAGGGGCCAAGCCCAACCCCTGAAAAACAACCCCACACCATAATCCCCCCTCCACCAAACTTTACACTTGGCACAATACAGTCAGGTAAGTACTGTTCTTGTGGCAATCACCAAACCCAGACACTTCCATCGGATTGCCAAACAGAGCGGCGTGATTGGTCACTCCAGAGAACATGTCTCCACTGTCCTAGAGTCCAGTGGCGGCTGCTTTACACCACTGCATCCCAATGCTTTGCATTGCACTTGGTGATCTAAGGCTTGTATGCAGCTGCTCGGCCATAGAAACCAATTCCATGAAGCTCTCTACACACTGTTGTTGTGCTAATCTGAAGGCCACATGAAATTTGGAGGTCTTTAGCTATTGACTCAGCAGACAGTTGACAACTTCTGCGCACTTTGCACTTCAGCATGCGCTGACCCCCCGCTTTGTCATTTTACGTGGCCTACCACTTCGTGGCTGAGTTGCTGTTGTTCCCAGTTGCTTCCACGTTGTTACAATACCACTAACAGTTGACCGTGGAATATTTAGTAGCAAGGAAATTTCACGGATGGACTTATTGCACACGTGGCAACTTATCACAGTACCACACTTGAATTCACTGAGCTCCTGAGAGCGACCCATTCTTTCACAAATGTTTGTAGAAATAGTCTGCATGCCTAGGTGCTTGATTTTATACACCTGTGGCCATGGAGGTGATTGGAACACCTAAATCCAATGATTTGAAGGGATGTCCCAATACTTTTGGCAATATAGAGTGTGTGTGTGTATGTATGTGTGTATATATGTATATATACAGTTAGGTCCATATATTCAAGCTAGAGTTATATTATGGATATGGGCTGAAATTGCACACTCTCAGGTTTAATTTGAGGTTATGTACATCCAAATTGGAGGAAGGGTTTAGGAATTATAGCTCTTAAGAGTAGCCATCCCTCCTTTTTCAGGGAACCAAAAGTAATTGGACAAATGAATCCAAAGCTGTTTCATGGCCAGGTGTGGGCAACTCCTTTGTTTATTTCTTCATTAATTAAGCAGGTAAAAGGTCTGGAGTTTATTATAAGTGTTATATTTGTAATATATTGCTATGAACCTACATCATGCGTTCAAAGGAGCTGTCCATGCAAGTAAAACAGGCCATTGTAAGTCTTCAAAAACGAAACAAATCCATCAGAGAAATAGCAGCAACATTAGGAGTGGCCAAATCAACAGTTTGGTACATTCTGAGGAAAGAACGCACTGGCGAGCTCAGCAACATAAAAAGGCGTAGACGTCCACGGAAGACAACAGTGGTGGATGATCGCAGGATCCTCTCTATGGTAAAGGAAAACCCATTCACAACATCCAGACAAGTAAAGGACACTCTCCAGGAGGTGGGCGTATCATTGTCAAAGTCTTCTATTAAGAGAAGACTTCAAGAGAGCAAATACAGAGGGTTCACCACAAGGTGCAAACCATTCATAAGCCTGAAGAATAGAGAAGCCAGATTAGACTTTGCCAAAAAACATCTAAAAAACCGGACCAGTTCATGGAAAAGCATTCTTTGGATGGATGAAACTAAGATTAATGTGTACCACAATGATGGGAAGAAAATAGTGTAGTAGAGAAGGCTTGGAACAGCTCATGATCCAAAGCACACAACGGCATCTATAAAACATGTAGGAGGCAAAGTTATGGCATGGAAATGCATGCTTCCAGTGGCACTGGGTCATTGGTGTTTATTGATGATGTGACAGAAGACAGAAGCAGCCAGATGAATTCTGCAGTGTTTAGAGATATACTGTCAGCCAAATGCAGCAAAGTTGATTGGACGGCACTTCACAGAACAGATGGACAATGATCCAAAACACATTGCAAAAGCAACCCAGGAGCTTTTGAAGGAAAAGAAATAGAATATTCTGCAATGGCCGAGTCAATTACCTGATCTCAACCCAATTGAGCATGCATTTCACTTGCTGAAGACAAAACTAAAGGCAGAAAGACCGACAAACAAAGAACAACGGAAGACAGCTGCAGTTAGAGCCTGGCAAAGCATCAGAAAGGAGGAAACCCAGTCTTTGGTAATGTCCATGGGTTCCAGACTACAGGCAGTCATTGCCAGTAAAGGATTCTCAACAAAATATTAAAAATGAACATTTATGATTCTGTTAGTTTGTCAAATTACATTTCAGCCTCTGAAAATGGACTGTGTATAAAAATGGTTGCAGTTCATAAAATTTGTGCTTGATATTTATGTTAAACCCCTTGAATTAAAGCTGAAAGTCTGCACTTCAAATTTATTTGGATTGTTTCATTTTAATTTATTTTGGTGGCATACAGAGCCAAAAGTATGAAAATTGTACCTATGGACCTAACTGTGTGTGTATATACAATATATATATCTATATATATATAGATATATATATCTATATATATATATATATATATATTTTAATGGAAATAAAATGTAAGTATGACTTTATAAATGCCATCTGTATCTGGAAATTAATAGAAACTTGAAAGGGCATGTTTGCTTTTATTGTACTGGGAACATATGTTTTTTGTATCTGGTAATGTTTGTTTTTTCCATATACCATTGAGGCTGTGGATGGCACACAATTAACTGTTTATTATTTCAAGGTTTTACTCAGCAGGGTGTCATTAAAGAACAATTCATACCCTATTTGTTTTGCATGGAAGGATGTAGGATAGTTTTCCAGATACTGACAGTGTGAGAGTCTCAGCTGTTTGTGGCAAACCAGTAAGTTCCTCTCCCTTTTCCGAAAAAAGCTGTGATTGATTTTAGAATGTAAGACTTCCGGATGGCTCATGAATTATTTTTCACCGTGGCTGTAAATAATTCAGTGTTCCTAGCAATTTCAGTACTTCAAACTCTTACAATGTGCTCCCTTGAAGTAATGATTAAAGTGAACCTTTTAGTTTTGTTGCTTTGAGGAAAAAAAAAAAATCCCATTTCAGGTCACCCATGTACATTATATTGGTTTTAGTTTTTTTCATGTTATATCTTTATCTGCCTTTATGCTGTAGATTGGTCATTGCTAGGCATTTTTAGGGATTCTGCCTTTGCTATATTGTAATTAATTTGCTTCATTGTAGTAAAAAAAAAAAAAATCATCCTTTTCCAGTTTCCTCTTCAGGCCTCATGCACATTGAACATTTAGCCCTGGTGCATGATGCTCTGAAATTTAGCTGTAGATCAGTGGTTCTCAACCTTCCTAATGCCGCGACCCTTTAACACAGTTCTTTATGTTGTGGTGACCCCCAACCATAAAATTATTTACCCAGTAATTATAATTCACGAGTGTCGTTTTTATCTCCAATACTGCTTCTTTCAACATAGTAGCTGCTTTTAACAGAGTAGCTGCTTTCAACACAGCAGCTGCTTTCTACACAGTAGCTGCTCTTTACAGATCGGAAATATGTGTTTTCCGACAGTCTTAGGCGACCCCTGTGAAAAGGTCATTCGACCCCAAAAGGGGTCGCGACCCACAGGTTGAGAACCACTGCTGTAGATGAAGGGTACAGGAAGACAATCTAGCCCCGCTGCCTGTGAAACTCAGAGAGTCTGATAGCTGTTGTGGCTGCATAGGGCTAGGCGGCATGCTAGGCAGCAGTGTACATACCGCTAGGTGCACCACCCAGCCCCTCTCTAGTCGCAGATAAACACTGGCGTCCTATGTATCGGGGGTAAATGCCCAGTATGCATGAAGCCTTAGATGTGCATGTGGTTTGTGCTGATCTTTTTAGTATATGGATGGTTGTGAGCTCGTATTAAACCTTACTTGGCTTGCTGCAGGTGGCTTGGCCAATTTTTTAAAGGAAATTGTGTTGAAAAAAAAAAAGCAGGCTGATGTTGCTGAATTTTTAAAAAAGTGCATGCTCCCGGGTGGTCATCCTGATACTGGCTTTACTACCCAGTGAGTTGATGGCTTGGAACAACCACGTGACCTCTCACACAGATCACAGTACTACCTATGACATTGTCTTCATCTGCTTTTCTCTCCAGATTGGTAGCATAATTGTTGCTCAGGCATAATCCAGAATTGCTGTACTTGGCTCTGTCTCCAAATGTCTTATACAGATCATCCTCTACTGTAGCCCCATACCTTGTGATTGCTATGAATGTACATTGCAAAGCTGGCTATACAGTGATCAAAATTCCACCAGTCAAGTAGGTAACAGCCAAATTTCGGTCAGTGTGTCTCCTTTCCCGATCGACAAGTTAATAATTTAAAGTGTTTGTAAAGTAAATTTTTTTTTTAATTTAAAATAAGGAACATGTTCTACGTACCTGCTCTGTGCAATGGAATTGCACAGAGCATCTCCAAACCTCTTGGGTCCCCACTGACACTCCTGGATCCTCCTCTTTTTTGTGTGCCACCATAGGAAGCAATTTCCTATCATAGCACACTGGCGTGCTTGCTCCTGAGCTGTGCTGCCTGCATCTATAGACAGACAGTGAGGCACCACTGTCCCCTTTCCTATGGGTGGGTGCTACTGTCAGAATACAATGTCTCAGCAGGGTTAAACTCCTCCTTACACCTAATTTGGGTGGATGGAGTGATCTGTTTTTTTCTGTGTGTGTTTTTTTTTTTTTTTGGCCAGTCCACTGCCTGAATGAAGAGAAAAAAACGAACAGTGTGTTGCCAGCTGTAGTTTGTTAACTTTGAGAGAAGAGGCTGGAAAAATTATTCCTCCTGCCTGCAGTGGACTGATGACATAACCTCTGCCCAGTCCGAGTGACTTGCTTGGAGTTTATTGAATGCTTTTTAGTAATAAGATTTTTTTTTTCTTTTGCAGAATTTTGCTATTACCATATAGTGTGCCATGTAAGGAAGTTGCTCATGCAGGCTTGTAAAGATACTGAGGGCTTCTGAATAAACAGGACAGGGGTGTGCAAATTAAAAAAAACAAAAAACTACATGTCCAAGGGACTTGTGCCTCATTCACATCATACGTGCAGAAAAACTGATGTTAACTGAGGCACAGATTGCACTTGCAGAGACATCATGTTCCATCTGTTTTCATGCACGCCTCAATGGGTTTTACACACATTGCAGATTCCTGCGCAGAAAAAGATCAGCATGTGATAGCAGTGTTGTAGTGTAAGCAGGGCACATAGAGAACAATTGATTTTGTTGTGCCCTTGCAGAATGCCTGCAGAAAAACTGACGTCTCTGCACCATGGTGTGAACGAGCCCTAAATTGGAGTCCCAGTCTACTTGTCCCGAATTAAAAAAATTAGTGGTGCACCAAGATGAAAATTCTGGTGCCGACACCGAAACCAAAAACTCAAAATGCACTTGGCCGAAAACTGAAATGTTCAGTTTTTAACCGCTTGCCTACAGGGCACTTATACCCCCTTCCTGCCCAGGCCAATTTCCAGCTCTCAGCGCTGTCACACTTTGAATAACAATTGCGCTGTCATGCAACACTGTACCCATATGAAATTTGTATCATTTTTTTGTGACAGAGCTTTATTCTGGTGGTATTTAATCAACTCTGGGTTTTTTTATTTTTTCTTAAACCAAAAACCGCTGAAAATTTTGAAAAAAAAAAAGTTTTTTCTTAGTTTTTGGTGTAAAATTTTGTAAATAAGTGATTTTCTCCTTCACTGATGTGCACTAATAAGGGTGCAGTGATGGGCAATGATAGGCTGCACTGATGGACACTGTTAGGTGGCACTGATGGGCACTGATGAGGAGGCACTCGTAGGTGCCACTGATGGGCATTGACAGGCATCACTGATGGGCACTGAAAGGCAGCACTGATATATGGCACTGATAAGCGTCGCTGACTGGCACTGATAGGCGGCACTGACTGGCACTGATAGGCGGCACTGACTGGCACTGATAGGCGGCACTGACGGGCACTGATATGCAGCACTAACTGGCACTGATAGGCGGCACTGACTGGCACTGATAGGCAGCACTGACTGGCACTAATAGGCAGCACTGACTGGCACTGATAGGCAGCACTGACTGGCACTGATAGGAGGCACTGATTGGCATTGGTAGGTGGCACTAACTGGCACTGATGGGTGACACTGAAAGGCAGCTCAGATGGGCACTGATATGTGGCATTGATGTGCACTGGTAGGCACTGATTTGTGGCATTGATGTGGCACTGGCATGTGGCACTGTTCAGCACTGGCAGCGGGCACTGATGGACACTGACAGATGGCACTTCTGGGGCCACACTGATCATCAGGGCACACTGACCATCAGTGCCCTGATGATCAGTGTAGATGTCCCCTCTGCGGAATGTCGATTACCGGCTCTCCTCTCCTCAGGAGCTGTCAGCGTGACAGCTCGTGAGGGGAGAAATGCCAATAACTGGCATTTCCCTGTTTACATGTGATCAGCTGTGATTGGACACAGCTGATCACATGACCCAGCCAACATCTTCGGTTCTTTTCATAGATCGGTGATCCGCTGTGTCCGAGGGACACAGCTCACCGCCGATCGCCGCGCTGTACACTCCCTGAGCCATGCATGCGCGGTGTGAATGGGAGGATGTTATATGACGTCATCCCAGAACGAGAGAACCACCTTGTGCCCGTCATTGGACTATATGGAGGGCGGGAGGTGGTTAAAAACGAATATATATTTTTTGGAAAAAAATACACTTTGATGAAAAAAAAACCAATATATACGCCAATTGTTTTGTACAAATATGAAAGAGGATGTTACGGTGAGTAAATAGATACCAAACATGTCACGCTTTAAAATTGTGCATGCTCCTGGAATGGCGTGAAACTGCGTTACCTAAAAATCTCCATGGTTTATGCTTTAAAAATTACAAGTTAGCAGTGTAAAGTTACAGAGGAGGTCTAGTGTGAGAATTATTGCTCTTGCTCTGACATTCGTGGCGATACCTCACGTGTGTGGTTTGAACACCGTTTACATATGTGGGCATGGCCTACGTATGCATTTACCACTATGTGTGAGCACGGGGGGGGGGGGGGGATGGGGGCACTTTAAACTTTTAAACAAAAATTTTTATTTTGCACTGTTCCTTTAAATAATTTTAATCACTTTTATTCTTATCACAAGAAATGCATGCATCCCTTGTGATAGAAATAATTAGTGACAGGTCCTGTTTATGGAGAGATATGGGGTCAATAAGATCCCACATCTCTCCTCTGCAATGTAAAGCATTGGCTCAAAAAAAAAGCATTGATCTAGTGCTTAAAAAAAAAAAAATCACCGGAATGGGAAGTGACATTGCTCCGGTCCCCTTTGAGGAAGATGGCGGCCATCTTTCCTTCACTCATCTCTATGCCCAGCGCCAGGATCGATGGTTTCTCAGGTAAGGCTGAAATACCGAGTGGTGGCCGGTGGTGGCAGCGAGGGGCAGGTTTTCGGCACCTGTATTGTTGCTTTTTTTCATTTTGGCCGACTGTCTAAAGGGGTATATGCGTCCGAACCATCTTGGCTACCGAAATTTTAGTGCATCCCTAAAAAAAAAAAAAAATATGAAGGGTTGATTTTTTTTTTTTTTTTACTAGGCAGAGGTGCTTTTAGGATTGTCTGAGGCTTTATAGCGACTTAAAAAGCGCAATGGTAAAAACATTAAAATTTTATCTCCTACTCACCTCCCTGCCTGCTCCAGCGCAGCACCCGGGGACTAGCAGGAAGGAGAGAGACCTTGCAATGTAATGAGCACCGATTGGGTGCTTGTCAGGGAGGGAGAGTATCGGGCTCTTTTAACGCTCAGCACAAGCGCATCCGCTGAGCGAGTAAATAAGGTACTGGCCCCAATGAGAGAGGGGAAAAAACCCCTTTATTTCTTCAGGTTACTCCCGCACATGGAAACATTTGGGTGCTCCGTTCTAGCACATGCTGAGCAGCTAAATCAAGCTCTGATGTCCGCTTCATTGGACTCCGTTCACACCTGGGAGTTTTGGAGTTGTCAGAATTGCTGAGATTTCTGCCTGCAATCTCAAAACATACTACAATCGCAAAAGGTAGGTTCGGGTGTCATTATTTGCAGTATTGGCATGTAAAACATGGTTTTGCCACGATTGTCATGCAACCTACTCCAAATTGTATCGTATGAAGCTAGTTGCCCAAAAAGGAGCAGGAACTTCTTTTGGGTGATAAGCTTCACGCAATGCGATTTCCCGTGATTTTCGTGCGATTTACTGGACGGCAATTCACATTGCATGAAGCTTGTCGCTCAAAAAAGGAGCAGGAGCTTCTTTTGAGTAACACTTCATGCAATGCGATTTGTGTCACGACAGTCGTGGCAAAACCGCACCATGTTTTTGGTGTGATTGAAAATAATGGCACCTGAACCTGCATTTTGCAATCGCAGGCAGAATCGCAGTGATTATGTGGTGATCCCAAAACGTGAATAGAGCATCCCTGGTTCACACATATGCGATTCTGGTATCCGTTTTCAAACGCACGGATTCACATGATATGTGTTCCTATTGAGTTATTTTACACAGATGTGATACACACGCTATTATGAAAATGGTTCTATCTGAGTTTGTAGCAGTGTGTTCCAGACTCACAAGTGATCGAGTAGAGTGGTATGCATAGATAAGATCCCAACCATGGCACCAACTGCCTGGAGTTTGCATGTTCTCCCTGTGCCTGCGTGGGTTTCCTCAGGGTACTCCGGTTTCCTTCCACACTCCAAAGACCTGCTGGTAGGTTTATTTATTTATTTCAGGTACTTATATAGCACTGTCAATATATATAGCGCTTTACATATATATTGTACATTCGCATCAGTCCCTAACCCTCAAGGGGCGTACAATCTAAGGCCCCTAACTCACATTCATATACAAAGGCCAATTTAGACAGGATCCAATTAACCTACCAGCATGTCTTTGGAGCGTGGGAGGAAACCAGAGTACCCAGAGGAAACCCACGCAGGCACAGGAAGAACATGCAAACTCCAGGCAGGAGGTACCATGGCTGGGATTCGAACCAACGACCCGAGTACTGCCAGGCAGAAGTGCTAACCATTTAGCCACTGTGCTGCCCAGGTTAATTATGTCCTATCTAAATTGGCCCTAGTATGTGTGTGTATGAATGTAAGTTAGGGACCTTAGATTGTACACCCCCTGAGGGTTATGGACTGATGTGAATGTACAATATATATGTAAAGCGCTGTGTAAATTGACAGCACTATATAAGTACCTGAAATAAATAAATAAGGGTTCACATAGGATTGCTATTGACAGGAGTTTTGGCATTGTAGTCAATGGGAGGCGTTTTGGCATTGTAGTCAATGGGAGGCGTTTTGGCATTGAAGTCAATGGGAGGCGTTTTGGCATTGTAGTCAATGGGAGGCATTTTGGCATTGTAGTCAATGGGAGGCGTTTTGGCATTGTAGCCAATGGGAGGCAGTTGTGGAAAGAGAGCCTTCAAAATCACGCCTGTATTGAAATCACACAGGAAAGGTACTTACAAAGAAGCATTGTGATTTCAGCACCCATGCTAAAGTGGCTGCTTGCCTGCAGCAGGGCTAAATGTAAAAAAAAACCTACCTGCCCATTAAACCTGCTACTACCTGGGCAGTAAAGACAGAAGGCTGAGCCTTGTTTTTACCACCTTTCCTAAGCTGCAAATGCAGCTGTACAGGAATATTCACATGCCGCGGTGTCAGTGCTTTGTACCACAGACGCGATCAGCAGGAAGTTCTGAACACAACCGATTCAAGCAAATGGGGCTGTGTTGCATTGCTGGTACAGGCCTAAAACAGGTGACATAATGGAACACCACCTCACGGCCTGTCAAACTCCCTATGAAAAGTGATCCACCACAGATTAGTCTTCAGAGGGCTACAGCTAGTCTAAACGAGCTCTTAGGAATTTTGTCTGATCGTATTTTCTCTGTATTGTTCCTGTGCTTGATAATGCCAAGCATTAGATATGGTTGGATTAGAGAGAATCATGTGATCAGATGCTAATGTGCTTGGGCAGCTTTTGGATAAGCATGTGACATTGTATAATAGTAAAATGTGGAATAAATGAGTTGCTGGCTTTAATTCGGAAGTGTCACCATTCATCTGCTGGATGCCGCAGAGCTCAGCGTGTATCTCTGTCATGCACCAATTAGGTTGAGACTTGGGCTGTCAGCTTTTACTTCTTATTTCCACGTACCATGTGGTTGTCTCATTGTGCTGGATGTCTAGGTATAATTACACTGTCCCTGGTCCGGCTGTTAAACAATAGCAGAGCTTTGCTAAAATGTTCCTATTTCATATCATTCAGTCCTGTTCCATTAATGGATTGCTGTACTTTTATCTTGGAGAATCTTTAGATTATACTCACTATACAGTATGGCTGAATTTCTTCAGTATTTGTACTAAGCCTTTTTTTGTAAATGACTCAATGTGTGGAATCTTCTCCTTGTGACAGTTCTTATATTGTAAGTCAGTGCTGAGAAATAATAAAACTTCCAGTCATTATTCATCTATCTATCCATTGTGCTTTTAAGCCTCGTTCACACCATGGTGCAGAGACGTCAGTATTTCTACACGCGTTCTGCAAGGGTACAACAAAATGAATTGTTCTCTATGTGCCCTGTTCACAACAGTGGTATCTTGTGCAGATTTTTTTCTGCGCTGGAATCTGCAATGTGTTTAAAAGTCACTGAAGCGTGCATATAAACTGATGTCTCTGCACGTGAAATCTGCGTGCCAGTTTCCATCACATTTTCTGCATGTATGGTGTGAATGAGGCACATGCGCAGTGCTGATTGAAGCTCAGGTTTCACAGCTAATTGACACAGTAGTTATTCAGCTGTTCATGTCAGGTTTACATCAGGATTTTATCTTGTTCACACGTGTGGTTTAGCAATGGTTCCCACAGAAGTCAAAAGCTTATAATCTGCACCTGAACCGAGCTGCACTGCTCAGAAATTAGACAGCACTCTTTTTCAATCAGCACTGCCAGTGCACTGGACATATGTTACCCGGCACCATAGGAAGCAATGTTATTTCACATGTTACGTGTATTGAATGCCGTACGCATATCCGCATACAGTGAGGAACAGAAGTATTTGAACACCCTGCTATTTTGCAAGTTCTCCCACTTAGAAATCATGGAGGGGTCTGAAATTCACATTGTAGGTGCATTCCCACTCTGAGAGACCGAATTAAAAAAAAACAAAATTCAGGAAATCACATTGTATGATTTTGAAAGAATGTATTTGTCTTGCACTGCTGAACATAAGTATTTGAACACCTGAGAAAATCAGTGTTAATATTTGGTACAGAAGCCTTTGTTTGCACTTACAGAGGTCAAACGTTTCCTGTAGTTCTTGACCAGGTTTGCACACACTGCAACAGAGATTTTGGCCCACTCCTCCACACAGATCTCCTCTAGATCTGTCAGGTTTCGGGGCTGTTGCTGGACAACACAGAGTTTCAGCTCCCTCCAAAGATGTTC